TTTTTAACAAACTTTGTCAAATCTAAGCATAGTCACTACGTAGAATACATTATATTTTAGTATAAATTTTAGAATTTATAGTACACTATATTTCAAGATAGATTTCTGAATAGAGGGTACCTTTGTCTTCTTTCCTTTCCTTCCTTTTCTTTTCATAGAAGACATCTCATGGATTTGACAGCCCGTGATCACCTTTCGTATTAGGGTGACAATGTCTTTGTAGAATGTTACTTTTTTAGATAAGTTTTAAACCTGAGAAAAATTATTTTATTTTGAAACGAAGAGTACATTTAATTAAATTTAAAATTGTTTGACTTATATAAAAGAAAGAACTATATTATTCTAGAAATCATAGAGTTGTAGTACTAGTTTACAGCACGTTACTCGAGAATGCATCGTGTCATTGCCATGCGTGGCGAGGGGGGAGGGGTGATAGCACGGGCAATTTGGTTTGTGCTCCACCACCAGGGACCAGGGTCTCCAATCCTAGGGAACGTGGACGCAGAATTCCAAGAGAAAAGCGTCAAGGGAGTTTGGTTAACTTTACCGCGAGATTCAAGCTCTGTGTACCAGGCTACTGGCCTAGGATGGGAGAGTGCTGGACTAGATAGGCCAGTAGTTTTCTTTTTTCGGTCCTTGACAGCGTGTCACTGTCCCTTGTAGAGACCGGCGTCTAGAGTATGCTTTTGACCAATGACCACCCTAAATAGTGCTTTGCTCCAAAATACTACTACAACGTACTAATATGATTGAGGTTAGGATTACCTTTCCTTCACTATCATTCCTCAAGGAAAAAGGGGCTCTCTTTTACCATCATCATCCTGAAGGCGGATTGTCGAAATATTGTTCTAGTAATAACACTACGATGCCACGCCAGTACGCCACACACTGACTGACTGACTGACTGACTGACACACCGGAGGTTCCAGTGAGAATCGTCACAAAATTGAAAAATCCTGCGAGTGAGAGCGGAAAGCGCCGTGTCTCGCTACTACTCCTTAGGGTCACCGCCAGCCGAGCAACTCCCATCAGATTCATGAAACCCGCAGTTCCAACAAACGTGGCAGTGGCAACAGAGTGAAGCCCGACCAAAACCGTCAAAAGTCCGTGGCAGATCTCTCCCAAGTCCCACGTTCTCCCCTCACCCTTCCGCGCGTGGCACTGCACTGGCACGCCGCACGCAGCTCGCCCCCGCACGCCAGGAATCTCGCGTGCGGCGTGCCGCGCCCCGCCGGCACCCCCCGCGCGACGAGCCGATTTCCTTCGTTTCGTCCGCACTCGGCACCGCCGCACCGCAGAAGCCTCCAAAGTCCAAACCCGCCTCCGCAGACCCGGCCGAGAGCCCCCACCGTCCCCCGAGCGTTTTGCGTGGACCCTTGTTCCGCTTCCGGCCGCCTGTTTCCTCCGGACGCTCTCGTCACGCCCTCACGTCGCTGTCCGCCGCCGGATACGTCGGGATCGACGATGACAACAAAACGCATCAGCTTCGGCCGCCGCCGAGAATGATTTAAATCCAGTAGGGGTCGTATCGTATACACTGAAAAGAAAAAAAAAACAAGCACTATTATAGAGCGAGCATCGGCGTTGAACAGATTAGATTACGGCCACATCCGGGCTGATGATAATTGATTCCGCGAGTGTCCCAGTCATGAGCCCAATAAGCGATAACAATCGTCCTGTTGACTTGACTTATAAGCCGTATATTTTTAGTCAACGAATAATATTTTTTTCTTACAATAAATCAGACAAACATGGCTTATCAGCCAAGCGAACGAAACGTTATAATGGAGCTGTGAGTGACGCTCAAGGTACGTAGCTTACCCAAGTACTCAACTGGATCACGTCGATGGACCCACCCAGCCTAAGCGACACCAATGAGGTCGTTCATCGCATGGGATATACGATATACTCCCTCCATCCCGTTTTAGCAGGCGCTAGCTCGTTTTTTATTTTGGCCATATTAGGAGGCGGTTTGGGATGTGACTAAAATTGAGTATATGAGATGTGACTTCGGCACTACTATTCGGGAGGAGAAAAATATTAGTTTGGAAGGTCAAGTAGTGTTTAGGAATGACACCTTTCAATATTTAGGATCAATGCTACAGAGAGACGGAGATATTAATGAAGATGTTAGCCATAGAATCAAAGCAAGGTGGATGATGGTGCGAATGTCTAGTGTCCTATGTGAAAAAGGGTACCATATTAAAAGACAAGTTTATAGTTGCGATTAGAATCATTATGTTGTATGATGCGTAATGTTGGCCTCTGAAAAGATGACATATTCAATGATATGTGTTGCGTCGATGTTTGCGTTGGATTTGCGGTCATGATATGCGAGTTCGATAGATTAGGGGTAGCACCAATTGAAGAAAAGCTCGTCCAACACCGGTTGAGATGATCTGGACATGTCCAACGGAGACCTCCAGAGACATCGGTGCCTAGTGGCTAAGTCAGGATAGTAACGTGAAGAGAGGCAGAGGAAGACCGAAATTAACTTAGATAGAGGTAATAAAATGAGACTTGAAATGATAAAATATACCAAAAAAACTTAGTTTAAATAGAATTGCTTGAAAAATAGCTATTCACGTGTCTAAACTTTGATGGCTTCAATTTTAGTTTATTCTAATTTATTTGGGACTTTGTCGTTGTTGTCGTAGGAGGCGGCGGTTTGGGGTAGTATTAACGAGTCAATTAATTACTTAAAGCAGCTAAAGCGCGTCACATGCATGCAGGGGGTCCTAGCATCGAAGCGTCACATGCATGCGTGGGGCCTGAGGGCCTATCAACGAAGGCAACATCGGCCGGATTTTGCGTAAAAAAAAATGAGCGACGGATTTCTCCACTGTTGGCGCGGATAATTAAGCCAATTAATACACGTGCATGCGGTTTTACCACCCGTCTTGGTATCTGGAAATTCCCTTGTCAGGCCGGGTAAAACGGGATGGAGGGAGGTCATAAACGATCGTGGATTATTTACTACTGGCTGGTTTGGTATGAGAGAAAAACATTGTTCCGACTGAAAATTTACGATCGTTTACGACCAAGCGAACAGTCGCTCTCGTGAAACAAGGAAAGGAAAAAAAATCAAAGAAGAGGTCGCTCTCTCCGGTCGCCTTGCACGAACGAAGCCCATCCGGCGGCCGTTGCAGGCAAATGTTTGGTTGGTTTGGTTTGGTCCAATGGCCGAGCTAGCCACGCACGGCAATGGCCTGTTGTTTCCCCATCTGAACATTTGCCCTCCAGGCCTCACCGGCGCACCCAACCCAACCTCGTACTCGTACTCGCCTGAACCGAGCGAGGCTGCGGGTGGCTGGTGGTACCGATGCCTGCCGCGGACCGAGCGGTTGGGGCGGGCCCTGCCGCCCTGCCCAGTGCCCACTGCCCAGGAGGAGGAGGTGAGCCGCTCACCCAACCGGAACCCACCCCGCGGGTGTTCGAGTACGACGGAGAAGCCCGAGCCAGCCATACCATACGGGCGGGCATACGTCTGTGGTCGTGCGTGCCGAGCTCTGCCTCTGCTCCACCCGTCGCGGCATCGGTATTGACAAGTGCCGGGGACCAACCATCTCTCCGCCTTTGGTCTTTGCCCCGCTACGAGGACGAAAAAGGAGGCCATTCCGTTTTTCGCTGGGACCGCATCCATCGACGAGCCGACGAGGCCGGAGATGAATGGTTGATTGCTAGCACTGCACTGCACCGGTTCGGTTCGGTTCACCCCCGCACGATAACTGTTGCTAGTGCGCTTGTGCTTAGCGCTAAGTGTTGCGTGTACGAGTGGCTCACACTGTCACGCACACAACAATTAGCTGAAAGCTCAGCCGCCGGCCCCGGAGTACCGCCTCCGTCCAGAAGAATGTAATTTGACCAATTTTAGATTAAAAACTAATTATAGATAAAAAAATATCAATATTTATGATACCAAATAAAAACCATCAGATTAATTACGAAATATATTTTCATAATAAATTAATTTAAAGATATAACTGTGAATATTATTTACTAAAAATTTAGTTAAACATTAACTATTTTTCATGACACGTAACTTATAATTATATTCTTTTCGGGACAGAGGTAGTATTTCCAAAATTGATGTTGTACGTGACTACGTGTCGTGCGTATCTCTCCATCGGTTGGTGTCAGAGAACGTATGACGAGAGAGAGCCACAACGCTATCCCGATGGTTTTCTAAGCATTTAATCAGAGCTTGAAACGTTCAGCGTCTCACGTCGCAAAGCGTACAAAACACAGGAGCTTCCAATGTTGACAGTTTTCCATTTTTTCCAAAAAAAAAAAAAAAAGAAAATGTTGACAGGCGCTCACTCCACCAGCAGTAAATGAGCTCATGCGGTGGAAATGCAGAAGAGACTCATCCGTAGGACGGAGTGGAGAGTGGAACAAGTATTTTGGACTGGAGCAGCAGTATAAAAAGTTTGAAACACCACGCGCGGATCTTCAAGCAGGAGTGTTTTTTTTTTCTTAAGATTTTCAAGCAGCAGTGCAGGCTAGGAGTAGACAGTAGAGTATCCCGATTCCTTGAGATCTTCAAGCAGTGCGTGCTTGCTAGCTGGCCAGCAGCAGCAGCAGAGAGGAGTAATTGAATGAATGAATTACAGTGGGTACTAATCTCGGGTCAAACGTCATCTCTTTACTTTTAACCAGCCACGGTCGTGGCTCACTCAATCGCAAGAAAGAACTCGCTCGATGGATCCTGTACATTTTCTGGATTCGGGAGCTGAGGGAAGAACAGAAATGTGCAGGCAGCATGGAAATGTTGATTTCTTGCGGCAATCAAAGTCGAACATGTTGTAATCTTTTCACAGCGGGAGCAGAGCACAAGAAGAGGGCACAGGGAAGAGAGTTGGGAGATCTATCTATGGCGGCTGGATCCTATTTCAGTCGCGGGCGCACCGGATTGGGCGACGATCCGAAGAGGGCGGTTCTTGTTGCGCGACGCGCATTTCGCCGGACGAGGTGTCGGTCGGTCGGCACCAGAGGACGGCTCAGAAGATGTCGAGGACGTCGACGATGGCGGCGTTGCAGAGCGGGCAGCGGCCGCGGCCGGCGACGAGCTCGCGGGCGCAGGCGCGGCAGAAGGTGTGGCCGCAGGGGATGAAGGCCGCGCCCTTGGCCCGGGCCATGCACACGCAGCAGCACCCGGCGACCATGCCCCTGCCCGCTGCCTCCGGCTCCAGCTCCGCGTCGTCCGCCGGTTCCAGTGCCTCCAACGTCGCTGAATCTTCTTCTTCGGGCTCGGGCTGAGCCGCGCCGCCCGGGACGGCGCTCCACTGCCGGTCCGTCTGCTCCAGGAGCGCCATCAGGGAGACCCTCTGCTCCTGCTCCTCCTCCTCCTCCTCCTCATCCGCCGCCGCCGCGGGTGGAGGCGGAGGCGGCGGCGGGGAAGGGGCGGCCTCGGCGGTGGCGAGTGCCGGCGCCGGCGGGGAGGCCGTGGCCGTGGTCGGGGGTGGGAGCGACACGGCGCGGCGGACGAGGGGGTCGCCGGAGGAGGGCCCCGAGGCGGGAGGCTGGTCGCCGCGGATGATGTCGAGGAGGGTGCGCGCCGCGGCCGCCGCCGCGCGCGGCGGCGGTAGCGGGGGACGACGACGACGGGGGCGAGAGCGACGGCGACGGCGCCGAGACCTGCCTCTCGGCGGCCATGGCGGAGGCGAGCGTGACCACGGCCCGGCGCCCGGCCGACGCGAGGTCATCCTCGTCGCGGAGCTTGAGCAGGTCGCGGAGGTTGCAGGACCCAGCGGCGGCGGCCCCGGCCCCCGCCGCGATCGCGACCGCCGGCGCCGGCGCCGGCCCCACCGCGGCGAGCTGGTCCGCCAGCGTCACGCTGCGCCGCAGCACCCGCCCCTCCATCCTTCCTCCCCCCGACGCCAAGCAAGTCGGGCCGGCTCACGCACGCACGGACGCAGCGGAGACCGGGAGCTCGAGCCCGGACAAGGCAGGGGAACCGAAGCGCCTATTCTAAGCGGCGGACGGGCGGGGAGCAGCGGCACAAAGGCACGGCACGCTTGTGTGGACTAATAAGTGAGGGCGCGCCTGGGGAGGCGTGCGGGGGGGTTCCGTTTCGTTACGTCTGGATCTCGCGTGCGGGGCGAGGGAGGGCGGAGGCGCCGCGTGACGCGCCGATTTGGGGGCGGAAATGGCTGGTTTTTGCGAGGTTTCTGCGTGTCAGCGCCTGCACGGCTCGGGCGGTCGGGCTCGCCTCGCTCTGGCTGCCTTTCGGGTGGGTGCGCGGCTCGGCAAGCGCTTTGGAGTTGGAATTGGAAGGTTGCAGCAGGGCTTGCATCTGCAGCAGCGCTCGCGCTCGCAAAGCGGAAGGGGGGGGATAATAAAGGCTGCCGGGCGGGGGGGCTGCATCAGCGGAGCCACGGTAAAATCGGATGCCGTTTGTCGGGCGTGCCGTGCCGAGTGGAGTGGAGTGTGCGTCCGGGGCACCGCACCGGACTGCGGAGGCGCCCGTCCGTCGTGCCGTGCTGCGCGTAGCGGGTACGGCTTGCGCTGATGGCAAGGTGTGCGGAACTGCGGGGTCTGGCTGGGCCGGTTGAGCTGACGAGGAGGGCTGCTGCCGCTGATGTGTTGGCTTGGCTGGTACTTTCTTCTTCTTTTTTTGTTTTTGAGAAACGGCTTGGCTGGCTCTTGGGGTGCGGCGGCAACGGAGGCGGCCGCGTTTGTTGGGCCGTCGGGCCGTGCGAGAGACTCTGGGCCGCGTGCCAGCTTTGGTCCAGCTGCCGGTGCTCAACAACGCCTGACTGTCAGTGAAGCGAACCTTCCAAGCGCCGCGGACTGACTGCCTGTCCTGTCAGTGAAGCGACGGCGATTACACCGCGCAACAGAACACATGTAGAGACACACCGGGCTACTCGCCTGGTGTTCGGCGTATTCGCATGCTCCGTCCTCCTCAAGGTCAAGGAAACACAGACGCACATAAAAAAAAAGAGAGGTACTAGCGACATTATTATGGCATCGGCGAGAAAGGAAAGTTCCGAGTCGCCTCCAACCCACAGCTTGCAAAACATCGCCGCTCGCGGGCGCCGGAGCACAAAATTCACTTGGCGTCGTCACTACGGTCCACGCTCCACTCCACGGTTCTGGCTGCATTCCTACCGTGCACTAAACACGGCCAAGCTCAACGCTCACAGACGCACATAAAAAACCATCAGGTACTTCGACATTATTATGGCATCGGCGAGAAAGGAACATCTTTCAGAAGATTGGCAGAAACCCACACAACCACAACATGGCTGCTCGCGGGCGCCAACTACTCTTTTCTCAAATTCACTTGGCGTCGTCAATTCAGGTCCACGCTCCACTCCACGGTTCTGAGCTGCAGCTAGACCCTGTTTAGATTGAAAAAATTTCAACGCTCTGAATAGTAGCAGAGTACCATCTTATTTCAACTATTGCACACGGTGGTTGTAACATCTTTCAGAAGATTGGCAGAAAGAACACAACAACAAACATGCAATTAGTTATTTTTTTACCTACATTTAATCTCCATCCTCAACCGAAAATGGGATGTGCCAATTCAGGCAAAAAAACTTCGAAGCCAGTACGTATCTATAGCAAATCTAGAAATCGCAATGACGGATTGGTACTGGAATTTGGATGACGCTTTCTGAAAGACTTAGGGGCTGCTTGGTTGCCCGCCACCACGAGCCATGCCATAGGTAGAGCTGCCACACCTGTAAGTCTGTTGTTTGGTTGATTAATAAATAATCCACGCTGCGACACAGTTTTTAGTACTAGCCTGCAGCCATAGGATGAGCTGCCACCACAGTAAGTCTGTTGTTTGGTTGATTAATAAACTTTGGCTGGCACAGTTTTTATAACCAAACAGCCTGCAGCATGGTGGATGTTTTTGCTCCAGAATCTACATGCGTGTGAGGATTTTGCTTTGGTCAGAATGTTAACGTGGAGGTGCACACCCAAAATTAGCAAGCTAGAATGCTAGGTCTACCAGACAGGAAGGAGAAACGTGCTCTGAGAAAAGAAAGAAGTGTCGCCTTCAGTGCTAAGGGCTTAACCGACGCAAACACATGCCAATGGTGGTCTCGGGTTTACACGTTGGTTATATAAATTGAGGCGTACAATATTTATTACAACGCAAGCGATTATCCTTTGGTTCTACCGTAGTCCCAAACATCACTTTTAGTTGTCCTCTTTTTTTCACCCTTTGTGACTATACAGACATGGTCCCCCTAGCAAACAGTGTCTGAGGCTACTCTCCTCAGCCTCACAATGCGCGCTTCAATAGCATCATCACCTTTTTGTTAGACCAAGCTACTAGTTCTTCTGCAAGATTCTACAGAACTCTGAGAGACCGCCACCAGAGATGAGATGGATGCTCGTTGCCTACGCGGTGGTTGGGGAAGCACGGCAGCTCATTGCGTTGCGGAAGCCCTATGCGGTTGAACTTTTCCTGTGAGAAAGTTGGAACAGAAAATTGATTGTCGAACTTCTTCCTTGAGTGACGGCAGAAAGTTCTGTAACGTGACACCAATGCTAAAACCGCTACTATCTCTGTGATGCTGCAAATTGTACTTCTAGAATGAAAATAAGCAATAATAAACCTCTAATTGAAGCCTCAGCAAGGGTTATTTAAAGCATGTTACAGGTAATGGCTTCGACCAAAGCTAAAAGTTTTAGGGAAAAAAGTCAATGCATCAAGAAATATGTCCTCTTCAGTCTTGTCTACAATGCATGTAATGATTAGCATGTAACACTACCATCCAACACCACCTTACAAGGCCTGTATGCTAAATTAACCAGTTTGACTAAGCCATGTGTCCCCATTCCATTCATGGGTTGATCATAAAAGACAAAATTTGCCAAGTAGTATAAAAGAAGATATACGTAGGATCTCTGGTTAGCCTAGAGGAGGATGAATAGGCCTATCAAAACAAACACTTAAACTTTCATCAAATTCAACCTACGGCACTGCCGCTCTGACCTCGCGGCACTGTCGGACAGTGGCACTGCCGCGCCAGAACAACGCCACTGCCGCACCTGCAGACAACTTCGAGTCACAGTTCAAAATCAGTGAATGTAAACTTGAATCGGAGAAAAAATTTAGCTTCCTGCAGGTATGAGATTCACAGATCGAGAGCTAGAAGTGGTAGGAACACAACACATAAATAAATCGACCACAAACCATAGAAATCACCTCAACAACAATATGAAATGCAAATGATGTAAATCAAGCACAAGGTGACACGATGATTTAACCCGTGGTTCAGCTCGCCACCAAGGCTTGCCTACGTCCACGTTGTTGAGGTTAGCCACTAAGGGTTAGGGCTTTGCAACCCTTCCTCGTTCTCAAGTCAAGAGACTCAACTTTTGAGATGAGGGATGGGTTTACTAGCTTCAAGAGATGGTTACAAACCTCCCGGGGCTGCCATACAAGTTGACAAGCTCCACAGGCGACGCTCTAGCCGGCTAGGAGCCAAGCTCCAAGAGTAATAAACATAATTGCCGGCCAAGACGTGAACCAATTGCTCTTTTGAGTTGGGGAATCAAAAGATCTGCTCTCTAATCGAGTTTCGGACCTTTTTCTCTCAAAGATTGATGGAGAAATCAAAGAAAAAGCTTGGGAGCTCAAGGTCACCAATGGAGGAGAGAGACAAGGGCACTAATCTGTTCTTGGACGAGCTGAATGAATGGGAGAGAGAAGAGAGACGTTGGGGAGGAAGGGAAAGGTATAAGTACCCCCAACCCCAACGGTCACTTAAGTCAAGGCAAAGGTCTAGCATGCTCAAGTCTTGGCAGATGTCAAGATCGTGGGCGATGCCTCTCTCTCCAAAAGTGCAACAGCTGTCGCACTGCATAAAGACAGCAAGGGTAAGAGTGAAGTGTTGGTTGTTTTGGCTGAGTAACTGAGGATGTATGTGTAAGATTGAGCACTTGGTAGCACATGTTAGCTTAAGCATTGTGTCCCCATTTATAGTACGGCTTTTCTTATACTCAAATTCAAAATATAAAAGAATTTAAACCTCCTTTAAGTTTGAAGCCATCAACATTTGTAATTGGGGGCTCATCCGTTTCGTGTAATATCCTCGAATATAGATTCCCTGCTTGTCATCTCGATAAATCTCATTAGTTCTCTAATTGCGTGGTCATTATCACCAAAACCCATAATTAGGGCTTGATTGCACTTTCAATATCGATCAGCCTGTCTAGAAGAGCCAAAAACTTCAATCTCTAGGATTGAAGGAAGCTTTAAGCCCTGTAACAAACTGGGTATGATCAACAACCTAACATGTACACTAACTGAATCAATGACGATCCAAAGAATGCTATCTAATCTCACTAGTCATCATGTCGTCCATCCTCTCATAGAAAAGAACATAAGGCTTGCACTTCAGAACTTTTCTTCTAGAGTGGCTTCCCTGATGTTACTATCATCCGCACAAAACCATCAGGAAGAGCAACTGCTCTGTTGTTGCTGATTTCTAATCTTCCTTGCTCTGACATAGGCAACATAGTGTCCCGCATTCATGAAGGGTCCACCACGGTGCTCTACGACACCAGCTAGACGATAGATGGTGTTATTTTTGTCCATAGACCTAAATATTGGAGAAAATAAAAAAAGTTAAAATCAAATGTATGGATGTAATTATTGTAGATTGTTATCAACCATACTATGCCTTCCTTGATCATATATCCTCAAAAAATAATGTTCACAAGAAGCCTCTACAAATAAACCTCTTTCAAGTAGTTATATGTAACAAAAAAAGGTCATCATATAAAGCTCCACAAATATAAAGATGGCCATCATAAAAAAAGAATGCTAGGTTTATTTGTATCACCAACACCAGAAACCATATCAACCACCTTAACAATAAATAAAATTCTACTAGAAATGGCATTTAAAAGGTACCACATACAAAGAAATAATGAGATCCGAAAAGATGCTTTTTAAATATCCACAATAAAGTGATACACACTAAATGTGAATGGGGTCTGTAGTAGATAATTTGTCCATTATATTCTCATTTTCAGATATGATAGTTCTATGTACAAGGAAATCTACTGAAATTAAATTCACTAAAATAGTCTAAATTAAATAAATCACTATAACAATTTTCATTCTAGGACAAGATTGAAATAAGAAGTTAAATGTACAGGTTCTGGTCAATAATATCAAAGGAAAAAAGATACTTAAACTCACTTTGAATTTATTCTCAAATTTGAACCACAATGAGTTGAAAACCATTTTGGTCCTAGTAAAAACGACCACTTACTAGCAGCAACAATGACATATGTACATTCTATAGCAGCAATAAGCTTGGAAAAGTGACAAAGAAAAGAACTTAAGAAATCAAACACTTGTTAGAACTGCATTGAAATATCATTGTGGTAGAACCGCCTAATCTAATGACTCCTAAGAGCGCTCGTCTTCCATTAGACACTAAGCACTCAAGGAAGAACACTAAATTACGCAGTTCCATCGGGCACACCTAGGGGAGAACCTAAAAATCCACATTTTTCATCAGGATCACAAATGAGAGAATAAAGCTTACATCATTCTTAACAATTTCTTACATCACTTTTAATACAACATCTGAGTATAATATTTATTATTATAACAACGGAATGTAATTATATTATCAGGGTTATAAACAATTTAATTGAACAGTGGAATATAAACATATGATCAGAATTACAGCGAAAATGAATATCTAATCATGACATGATGAAGTATTGATATATAAACTACGACAACAGATTATGAAACTTTCATTTATAAAAGCATTTGGTGAAAGTTATAAATAACAATTACGATCGTAGCGTAAAGAAATCGTCGCTGAGCCCACCAGTAGGTATTCACACACAAGGGTCAGCTCTAGCATCCACCTGTCACCTGCAACAAGGAGAATAAAATCCTGACTACTCAATTGTACTCAGCAAGACTTACCCGACAGGAGGAAAGAAAAGACTCCAAAGATATACAAGGCTAGCTGGCTTGTGGGTTTATTACATTTGTAGGAAGCATTACTAAGCATGCGTCCTTATATTTGATTTTTATTAATAGCCGCATTTGTTCATTAACTAACCATTCTATGTAAACACCTGTGCTACTTTCAAGCAGGTGGTAAGCAATCAGATTTTCTTTTTCTATCTTCCATCTTTCATCTTCAGTTCTTACTATGGTGCTAGGCACGAAACAAGCCGTACCGATTGCTCGGTGATTCGCGAATCAATGCCCTCAGCTGGGTACCCTGAAAACACACGCTCCGCTGGTACCCAAGGCACAAGTAGGACCAACCCATCACCCTCCTATCCTGGGGTCCTAGGTCTCCGTCCAAACTGAGACTCCAAGCCCCTATCCCTGAGTCTCGGACTCAGTGCGGTGTAAGGACCTCCTCCACCAAAAAAACCCTGACAGTCGGTCCGGAAAGAGCCGGAACCCACGACAAGAGAGCAACAAGTCTTTCAAGCGCCCATACCCAAGTATGTGCTTAGGATAATAAGTCTATGACTTGCCTCGATGGCTTATGCAACGACCGGTCTTTAACCGACACAGACAGGAAAAGCAATGTAACTAAGCTATGCCCCGCGTCCACGGCGACACAACCTCTTACACCCACAAATACCCAAACCATATCCCTGCCCGGTCACTATTTTCCTTTCCACCATTTATATTTTTCAAGTGATAATAATGCAGTAATATATTTTCTATCTCTCACGAGTGACAGGCAATCACTCGATTTTTATCGGAGTCCTGTAGCATAGCATTCTACACGATCCTGTCATGCTAGTAAGACTCATAGGATAAAGATATATATACAAGTGAGTTTCATTCAACTCCTTAAAACTTAATACACAAATATAATTTAAATTACAGAAAAATAGGGGTTATGTATCGGGGCTTGGCTGGGTAAAATATAACCAAAAGTTAGCATTCCATCATGGCGACACGATCTCCAAAAGCACCATTCTCCAGCAACTCCCGATGACTCCATGATCCATCGATGTCCCTATTATGATACGCAATACGATGCAATGCAAGAAGTAATTAATCAACTGCAATTGTGACCTATAGAAATACGATTTACGCCTCTCAAGTTAATGGGCCAGTTCTAACGATGACCGTACTTAGGCTACATATACACGTTGTTGGATAAAGCGTTATTTCTCAACAATTATTTTAGTTATATAAACCAAGGTTGTTTCTTTATTTCATTCTATCGATTTAACTCTTGTTCGAAATAGAGCATCATTAGCTACCTAGCAACTGATTATTCTGTAGCCACAAAAATTACAATGAGTACCTAATATTGCTAGGAGCCTACTGTAAAAATTTTAGATTCAACACTATTACCCATTTATCACAATAATTCCTAAAAATTCATATTTTTTACAATACTAAGTAACTTAAATTAATTATATAGTTTCCAAGAATATTATCAAACTATGTTAACAAAATACACTATTGGATGGATCCTGATTTTAGGAACTCAACAAAACTATTTTTATAATTTTTGGACAACTACACAAATTTATATTGATTTTATAAATTTATTCCTGAAACAAATTTTAGTAATCGCCTTAGAAAACACAAGGGGCCAGTGACCCACCAAACGGCCAATGGTGGACGCCCGGCCAATGAGGCCCACGGCGAACGAGTGGTTCGGGCCGCAAGAAGACAATGTGCTGGCCTAAGCGGCAAGAATAAAGAGCCGTGGAGGCCCAGGCGCGTCGACCATAGACGGGCCAGCAAACCGGCCGCGAGAGGTGGCCCAAAGAGTTAAGAACGGCTCCGGCCAGGGATTGAGGCGTGCGCGCAGATCATGAGCGAGTGGGCGGGCTATTATCCACGACGGACGAGCCAGCCGCCCACACACAGCCGAGGGCGAACAAATGGGCGGTACCTTTTTACGAAGAAACCCCCGAGATCTCCTCAAATTAATCCACGGTACAAAGTCACTATTCCTAAGAGTCACGTATTTCGCACTGAGAACCCCGTACAAAAATTTACTTGGATTCTTACCCTTCTCTCCCACTCCAAAAACAGAGCACGGCAGAGGAGCTCAGGCCGACGACCAATCCCGACCGGGAAGGCACGGCGGCGATGGAGGAGGTGCAGGGGCAGCGAGGGCATACACGGCGCACCGGCGGGTGGGTGCGGCACGCCAGCTGGTGAGGGCAGCCCTTCGGCACCGGGCGGACCAGGCGCTGGAGGCGGAGCACCACGGCGGCATCGGTGGCGTGGAGCTGCGGCCGTCGAGGAGGAGGACGCGGGGCGCGGATGACAGCGAGGCGGCCTGGTGACATGGCATGGCAATGCCGCTCGGGCACGCTGCGGCTGCAGGACCCACGCGGGCCGAGGAGCTTACGCGCGCACGCGAGGGGCAGGGCATGGAGGGCGCGGCCATGACGACCTCGGCGTGCCACGGAGGCGCTGAGGAGGCACGCGGCGAACGGCAGCGGCGAAACGGCTCAACGGCGGGGCGCTTCGTGGTTGTGCCCACCGGTGACGACTGTGGGGCAATGCGGGTGGCACGGCGCGATGACGGCGGCCCGGCATAGGAGTGCACGACGGTTCCCAGCGTGGGCGGGAAGGTAGTGCGGGGAGCGAGGTGGAGACGCGTGCGGGCATCGTGGAGCAGCGGCGTGCGGAGGAGGTGGCGTGGGGCTGCGGCCGGCGTTCTGCAGTGGCGTGAAGCGGGAAGGGAGGGGCGGAGCGGCTAACACCAGGGTACAGGGCGCGGACGCCGGGGTACCAAACGAACATCGATGGGGGCAAGGAAGAAAGGCCTATGCAGCTGTGATGGCTCGGCTGCTGGTGCTCTAAAAGATGGGCCGCGCAGGACGTGTCGGTTGGCACGGACAAGACTGTGCAATATAGAGGGAGGGGAGCGTCTTGACACGGCGGGAAAACTGGCGGTACGGAGGGCGCCGCGGCTCACGCGCTGCGCTTGGAAGAGGAAGCGACGAAGGCAATCAGTGAGGGAGAGAAAGCATGGAGCGATTGGTTAGTCATCCAATAGGGCGTTCCCGGCCACGAGAAAACAAGCGCACGAGACCTACTGTGCTCGCTCAGTAGATAGCAATGCCAAGCAGAGATGAGACCGCAGAGGCAGGCAAGTAGACAACAGAGGACCAGCGGGGCGGTGAGCAGGAACTGGGCTCCTCGGCTGCAGAAAAAGAAAGGAAGAGAAATCAGAGGCAGCAAAGGTGATGCGACGATGCCGGTAGATGGACGGTTGCGCGGTAGCGAAGTAGAGGCGGCAAGGACAAGCAAGGGTAGACAGACAGAGATGTTGATGGTGAACGCACGCCGGGAGGAGAGGAAATGAGATAGGTCCAGGCGTACCAAAGGAGAGAGAGAGAGAGAGGATGCAAGCAAAGCAGTACACGGCAGCAGCGGTCCAGCCCACTTTCATTAAGGCGCTCTCTGAGAAGGACGCGAGGGAGTGGGAGCAGCGGCACGACGACGGGACTCGACGACGCGGTGCGACGCGAATGTGAACAGCGATACGTCATCGGCACTCCAAAAGATTTAAATCATATCGACCACCATCCCTAAACATTTCACATGACAGCTCCTACTCCATACCCAGCCATAGAATAAAATATTAGGTGTTATGTAATTATTTTGCACAAAACAATTCACCACAATTAGCGATTTAAAATATAATTTCTGATTTTTACCGTTGACGCGAAAAGTTGGTTTTTAAATTTTAAAATCCGAGAAAATCATTTCGATAATTTTTCTTAGACCTAAATCGCGGTGTTAAACAAGCTCGTAACACCAGAGGTGTTACAATTATTTAGTTATGTGAAGAATGAAGTACCTAAAGTCCATGAATCGTCCTAGATCAAGAAGCTCCTTATAGATCACACGAGCTTCATTTTTATGGTACTCATTGCCATTCTTGATGTACCTCTTAAGATGAAGGGTTAATACAGGCGGCAGCTTCATAATATGAGGCTTTTGAATAGCACGTCCACTCCTCTCTTTCTGTTCATTTTGGTTGTCTCCTAACTGGTTTGCACTAAGATCCAACCCTACTTGCTTCCTCAAGTCTTGATTTGGTGGGATGAGATTTTGATTGTGTTGGGTTCTCAATAGGTTGGATTGTTTCTCAGTCGAAAGGAAACTACATGCAGTTTCTTGAACACCGTCATGATATTCAGTTTCCTTATGACCATAACTCATCCTTGAATTTGCTCCAACAGTATCTGTATCTGCCATCTGTATTGTTTCACTCTCTGCATCAGAACCATCTTGTTGTCTACAACAAGAAGATTGGCATTCTACTAACAAACTATTCAGTTCACTAGGTTGCTTATTTGGGCATGTTGTCCTGTATGACTGTTCAGTATGGCCCCCATTAACTGCTACCCCATCATTGGTACCTACCTCCATTTGCTTACCCTTTCTGCTTTGATTAGTACTTGGCTCCATAGGTACCTTGGAACAATCACAGCTCCTTTCTACCACCTCCTCTTTAAAAAACAGTGATAGACAATCCTCGATTGTTGGTATACAATTGTTATCCCCTATTCCCTTGCCATTTTGATCTACATAGCTGCACGACGTCGTCCATGCATCATGCTTTAGTGGGGCAACAAGTGGAGGTTGACCCATATCTTCTGGATAGGGGGAATCTGTTGTCATCTGAACCATTTGCTCAACTTTAGCATCAGAGATGCTATGAGGAACAAAACCAATAGAATGTAGTGGCTCCTCGGTGTACAAAGGATCTTGTACAATAGCATCCTTGCTTTGCCAGGTGTGTTGCTCTTCAGCAGAATCTGCATAAATGAGAATATAATTCTTAATTTTAACTACGACAATACTCTTCTCTATCAATAGGTAGATTGGCAGAACTCCTGTTGTTCTTTTAAACAAAAAATTAACCACGATAAAGTATCACGCAACAAGTAATTATCGCCATCTACACAATTTTTAGTATCTTTATTATCCTCCACTTCCAAAGTATCCCTAATTTAAGCATCATCTTCTAGCGAAAAAATGATATATGAAGAGAAGGTAGTCCAGTGGATTTTTTAACTACTATACACTAGAACAAAAAACCTAGCTAGGTTAATATATTTTTTTTGAACGAACATTGTCAGGTTAATATGTTGATTGTTGAACATTCCAATCAATTTTATATGTTAGAAATTTTCTGCATTTAGCAAGTGTAAAGAGTCCCTAACAATTATCTCCATTTAGCAAGTGTAGGAGACCCACTTAGAAAAATAACACTTTTTTCGGTTGATAAAAATAGACAACAAGTACAACGATAGTGTTTGATCGTGTTCCACTATTTTCTGCAATTTTGGTTCCTCGACAATGGCGTGGTCAGTGGTGGAACCAGGGGGCCAGTAGGGGGCGGCCCCCCCCCCCCTCAAGCACAGTGAAAATGATAATACCTATTAAAAAATTCAATTACATAGTAAAAAATATTATTTCACCATTTTTTGATGATAATACTGTGTTTTTTTCGCTATGAGTACTAAATATATATGTAAAAATATTGAAAAGCTATTGAGATATATACTTGTATGTATTTATATATTTACGAGGCGTCGTAGTATTGTCCGACCCCCCTGATAAAAAGTTCTGGTTCCGGGCGTGGTCTAGGACATACCTCATTACCCGTGGTTAGGAATTTTGAATAGGTGCAGGATTGCAAAAACTCACCAACTTCCATAGGGTCTGATGTTTTGTCCGCAACCAAATCATTAAATTCTGAAATAAGAAGATGAGAATTGCCACTTTTGGCATCGATCTTTCCCAAGTTACTCTCACTTGCTGAAAGTAACTGAGTAGCAGCCTTCATGGGTTGAGATTTGATACTCTTGCTTAGATCCTCCTCTGATGGCAGCGATAGTGAGAGCTCCCGGAAATGTCCATGGAAAGCCGAAGCAGACTGACAATATATGCAGGACCGTGTCCCTAACAGCTCACCCCTGAAAATCGAATCAATAACTGTCGGAGCACCTGTTTCCCTGTAAGGGTTCTCAATTCCACTTTCCTCATCCTGCAAAGCATTGCGCAAGGACTCAAGCAATTCGTAGCTGTCATGCATCTTGTAGGCTTCGTACTTGCCAGCATGTAAGCGCACACTTCTCAATGTTAGGATCGATGTGAGTACCTCTGTGTGTAACCCGTAGATCTGTAGTTAGGCTCCTCAACCTTGCGGAGCTTTACCGCAGCGGCAACGTGGACGCCGCTGCCGCCCTAGATGCAGCCTCGCGGACGCCAGTGCTCGGCGTGCCGATGAGGAGGCGAGGTGGCGATACAGTGGGGCGACGGCGGTGAACCTGCAGTCGCGACGGTGGTGGTGGGGCACATCCCGTCGCTGGCAGCACGCTTTAGGATCGGTATTAGGGTTTCTGTAGGTGGGTGTGGCGGCTCCAGCGAACCTCATTTCTTGAGCTCGATCCCCACCTTCCTTTTATGTGTGCTGTGCGACAGGGGCCCACCAACCGGATTAGGGTTGGGCTCCCCCGATCAGGGAGACGAGATAAGGGCCCAATAGGCCGTTGGACCTATTGGTGGAGATCAACTAACATTCTCCCCCTTGGTCTCATTCCATCTTTCACTTTCATATCATTTACTTTTGTTCATTCCATTACAGATTAGCTCATAGAGCATGTCTCATCGTCACGGTCCATTGCCGATAGACTTATGACTACAACTCACTACTCTGCTCAGAAATAGATACTTATCTTTGGGCCTTCTTTTGTCCAGAATATTTTAGGCTTTCCCTTAAACCCAAGCTAGCTACATGTTCTCTCCAACACCATGTCCTCTGAACATGTTGGGTGGTAAGCCTTTTGTAAGCGGATCCGCGAGCATCCTTTCTGTTTTTATATGCTCAAGATTTATGACTTGATCCCGGACTTTATCTTTCACAACATAATACTCTATGTCAATGTGTTTGGCAGCACCACTTGACTTATGTTGTGAGCATCCCAGATTGCCAGATTATAATCGCAGATTACTTTTAGTGGTCTATAGATGTCGTCAACCACCTTCAAACCGGGTATGAACTTCGTTAGTTAGTTCACCGCCTGCTGCCTCATATCACGCTACAAACCGTCATACATTGTGGACGATGTAGTGACGGTTTGCTTTGAGCTTTTCCATGAAATAGCTCCTTTTGCGAGATGATAGAAAATCCACGTCCGGATATGCATTCACTCTGCATCATCGAAATCTGAATATCCCACCATGTGGAGTGAATCGAGATCTTCTTTATATCATCATGAGGCCTTTCGTTCGTTGCAAATAATGCAAGACTTTCTTTACTAATTTCATGTTCTATTCCGCATTGCTCGAATCGCCAAGTAAAACCCGATAACAAATGCCAAGTCGTATGCGCATACATACTTGAGCATGTTGCAAGCTTCCGACAATTTGAAGCATATGGAACCACTTTCTCTTTATCGATTGAGCTCATATTGGTTCCTGGGGCATTGAAAATCCCCATATCCGTCGCCCTTGACTACAGGAGCAGGTGAGGGACTACATTTGTGCATACTGAATTTCTTGAAGATCTTTTCCATGTATGCCTTTTGTGACAGTCATTATACCCTTTTCTTCTATCTCAGTGAATCTCGATCCCTAGAACGAACGAGGCTTCGTCAAGATCTTTCATATCAAGTTTTGAGAACAAAACTTCTTTGTCTCCTGTAGTAGACTGACATCACTACTAGCAAGTAAGATATCATTTACATACAGGATAAGGAAGATAAACTTCCCAATCTTAAACTTTGCATAGACACAATTGTCCTCTACACTCTTTAAAACCCAAAATTCTTTATTGTCTGATCAAAATTCAAGTACCACTGTCTTGAAGCTTGTTCTAATCCATAAATGGATTTCTTTAGGCGGCATCCCATTCGTTCTTTTCTTTCCATGACAAAACCTTCCGGTTGTGCCATGTAAACATTTTTCTCCAAGTCTCCGTTGAGGAATGTCGTGTTTACATCCATCTGATGTAATTCTCAATCGTAATGTGCCACTAATGCTATTATTATTCTGAAAGAATCCTTACATGAGACTGGAGAAAAGGTCTCATTGTAATCAATCCTTTCTCTTTGCACAAAGCCTTTTGCCACAAGTCGGGCTTTATATCTCTTTATATTCACTTGAGAGTCAAGTTTTGTCTTGTAGACCCATTTACAGCCTACTGTTTTGGCTCCTTTAGGAATTATTTTCAAGTCCCAAACTTTATTGGCATTCAATGATTTCATTTCATCTTCCATGGCCTTAAGCCACTTTAATGACTGATCACTACTCATGGCTTCTTCAAACGAGGCTTTGATAATCCTCCATTTGAAATTCTTTAGTGTTGTACACTTCATAATCAGCAGGAATAGCTGATTTTCTAACTCTTTGAGACCTTTTAGGGGCCTCCACATTTGGCACATCTTCTGTTTGAGGCTGTTGTTGCCCCCCCTCATGTGTGGCAATAGGTTCTATAGAATCCTGAAAAACAGGTTCCTTATCGTCATTCATTGTTGCCACGGTGGGATAACAACAGTCTTTGGCACCACAAAGATCTAACACTTGTCGGTGCAGCTCAGCAGTAGTGTGAGAAAATTGGCTCATAAATCATTGGAGTGGGCACTTACACCCGCTTCACTTCAAGGTCAATTTCTCGAGCTACCATGCTCCCCCTCATCTTTTCATCTTCTAGGAAAACAAATGCGTGTCTCGTTTCCATAACCTTTGTATGTCTCTCTCGACTAAGTGGAAAGCCAAAACTTTTTGACTTTTACTGTAGCCAATAAAATGGCACCTTACTATTTTGGGATCTAACTTCTCAATGTTTGGGTTAAATACTTTAGCCTCAAGGGGCTCCCCACACATAGTGGTTTAGTGAGGTACATTTTCATCCACAACTCATACGGTGTTTTGGGCACCGATTTACTTGATACTCTTTTGAGAATATGAATGAGGTTTTTAACGCCTCCATCCACAGGCTCAATCAGTAAGGTGGAGTAACTTATCATACTACCCACCATATCCATCGTATCTGTATTGATTCTTTTAGCTACTCTATTCTGTTGAGGTTCACCTATAGAATCTTGGGCTACTATGCTATTCTTTTTAGGGTATGCCGACAAGAAGTACTCCTCCTACTAACACGACTATCTTAATCTTTAATATCTTAAATTTATCCAATATATCTTTGCTTTCTTTGATTGGATAAATATAGCCATAATGGGAGTAATCATCCTGAATGTTATGAACGAATCATAACCATCCACACTCTTTACAGGAAAACTGATCACGATCCATCATGTGAATAATCTATAAAATTCCTGCGCTTTTTTGTCATCTTATCTTCTTTACATACTTTTTCTTTTATGCATTCTCTGCATTGTTCTAAATCTGAGAGCTCTAATGGAGGAAGAATATCATTCTTAGCTTGTCTTTCTATTCTCCCCTCGAAATATGGCCTAAAAAACAAAGTGCCATAATTTCGACAACGCATCGTGAGCTCTCTTATGCCACCATTTCTAGAGTAACACTCCTGTGACCAGTTTATCACCAAGTGGCATATGTCTTTGAATAGCCGAGTGAACGACTCTTTATTCTATCGAGGTATTTGGTGACCGTGTCACACTCTCGAGATTGAGCCCACAATTGCAAGCTCAATCATGTTTTTTATCACAGACCAAACATTTCGTTGGCGGTGACACCTTCCTATGCTCAAAGTCATAGAACTATCTTTTGGGATTCAAAATCCTCTCTTTAGTTGCCTAAGTGGCATCATTCTCTTTTGTCTCCCCACCGATGCCCCAAACTCAGAGGAACACGGTGAGGTGACTACCCAGTCCACCTTAGACAAGATGAAAACTAGGTCAAAACTTTTCTTAACATAAAAATAACACATCATTTGCATGCCTTGATTCCAACGTTGGTCAAAAACAAAACATACAATTATTCTTATACACTAATTCTACATCACCGCTGGGCGTAAATAGAATTAATGCATAAATCTTTAACTTTGACAATCGTTTTACACACTAATTCTACATCACCGCTTGGGCGGAAGTAGAATCAATGCATAAATCATTAAAATTATCAACTTTTCTTATACACTAATTCTACATCACCGTTGGGGTAGAATTAATGCATAAATCATTAGCATTACGATATTGTTATTAACAACGTTGGTCGAAAATAACAACATCATAATCATGTCAAAACTCTTTTCTCCAATTAAATACCACGTTGGTATGAATTAACCGGAGAATAAACAATTTCTCTAGCGATGGAAAAACTTCCTTTTCTCCAATTAAATACCACATTGGTATAAATTAAGCGGAGAATAAATCATTTCTCTAGTCAGGAAAAACTTCTCCTTTTCTTGAATTTTACCCACGGTAATTGTATTTTCTATTTCCTTTAATCCATTAATCAATTTCGGAAAATAAACATTTCAAAAAACTTTTCTTTTCTCCGCTTAAATATCACGTCTGCTCAAAATCACCGGAGAATATACCTTTTCTTTAGCAAAAAAACTTTACATCAATTTCTTGAATTTTACCCACGAGGATAAAATTACTTTTTCTATTTTTCTTTTGAGCCATTTTACATTTTCAATTTTCTAGAAAAATGAAAAAAAAAATCTGCTCTTGCTCTTTAGAAATTTTTAAACGCATTTACGCAACGTGTAAACACGCCTAACAATTATTCTCCATTTAGCGCAACTCAGTAGGTAGAATTCGACCATGGCCGCTTCGCCCTTAGAAGGCCACACTTTTTGGCGCCGTTGAATCAAATCGGACGACCGAAGCGGGCGCTTTCGGCCCGTCAAAACCCGTGTTCATCGCAACCCTAGCTTCATTCGCACCTTGCCCTTCTCTCTCTTCACTCACTGCGCTTCTTCTCTCTCCTCAGACAATGAGCCAGCATAACGAGAGGACACCGGCGGGAGTGAGCTGAGCTATCGGCAAGTTGTCGCCCCCCCCCAAGACGCGCGCGTGCTCCCCGATGGGTGAGCACGCCCGCCGAGTCATGGCCGGCAAATGGCGCCCCTTTGACCGAAATAGAAAGCAATACTTCTTCTTCACGAAAGGTTGTCCCGCTCTTTTTTCCCATGCTTGCGGCGAGGGTGGATCCGTCCCTTCCCTTTTCCTTTCCCACCCCTTCTTTTCGATTTGGATCTCGCTTTCCTCTTATCCGAACCAAACCAAGGAGGGGATTAGGGTTAGGGTTTCTTTGATTCCTTTCTTTTCTTTTCTTTGATTTCTTTTGTTTCTTCTCGGATTCAACCGGTTAGGGATGAGGATCCGTCTAGGGTTAGGTTTAGGGTTCTGATGCCACCCTATTCTTTTCCCCTTTCTTTTCTCTGTTTTTCCTTTCTTTTCTTTGACATCCAAATGGATCTAGGGTTAGGTTCTGTTTTCTTTTATTTCTTTTCTTTTCCCTTGTTTACCCGAACAGATTATCCCCGTTCTAGGGTTAGGGTTTCGGCTCTATGAGCCTAGGGCCCTATTTCTACTCTGATCCGAATGGATTTGTTCTTTTCTTTACTTTTGCCGTGAAATCATTAAATTCAGTAAGAAGATCTTTCCTCCACGCATCGATGGCGGTGATGACCGTAGACCGTGAGCTGGTCTCTCTTTCTTTTTGCTTTTACCCGGTTAGGGTTAGGGTTACACAGAGTCAACTTTCTCTGGGTACCATTGTTAGGATCGATGTGAGTACCTCTGTAACCCAGAGATCCTCCTCTTAGGCTCCTCAACCTTAGTGGAGCTTCACAGCGGCAATGGACGCCCATGCCGCCTAGATGCAGACTCGCGACGCCATATATGCTCGGACGTGCGTGATGAGGAGGCGAGGTCACGACGGCGGTGAACTGAAAATCGCGACGGTGGTGGTGGGGCACATCCGTCACCGCGACGCTTTAGGATCGGTATTAGGGTTTCAGTTTCCCTGTGGCGGCTCAATTCATTTCTTGAGCTCGATCCCCACCTTCCTTTTATGTGTGCTGTGCGACAGGGGCCCACCAACCGGATTAGGGTTGGGCTCCCCCGATCAGGGAGCCGAGATAAGGGCCCAATAGGCCGTTGGGCCTATTGGTGGAGATCAACTAGCACTCAATAGTCTATCTGGGTTCAGAAGGCGTCCCGCAGAATCAGCAGCGCTTGCCTCCACGAAAAGCTCCTTCAGTGCCATGCCAAGGTGACACGGCGGAGGATCCGGCCCTAACATCCATGCCCACAGCTTGTTGAGAGTTAGGAGGCACTGCACCATCGCGTTCATGTAGCATGTGTTCCCGCTGTTCGGCATCCCTCTGATAGCATAGCCTTGGGTATTCCCCGATCCGAGCTCAGCCACACGCCATGCGTCTCCGAGCTTGAGCAACCCGGTGGCGAGATCGCGGGGCATGTCGAATCCAAACGCATGGCCGCCGCCGCCCTCCTGAATTTCGCCGATGATCGTCCCCAGCTCGTCATCTGGCTCTGGATACACTGGTCGTTCACACTCGCACTTGAAGCAGAATCCAGTCTGTGGATCGTCGAACAGCGCGTCGACCCAGTGCTGCTCCTGCCTGGCGTGATCCTGAGCGTGCCCGCACGGGAGGTAGCTCCTCGAATCCCCGCAAGAATGCCGGCCGCATTCCAGGCACACCAGGATACGGCGATACTTGGGCCGGCCGCCGGCCCCCTCCTCACGCGAGCAGTCCTCGCACATCCCCACGTCGTCGGATAGCAAGGACCAGCTCAGAATATCCTTGTGAGCGCTGTCCGTGGGGACGTGATCGCAGCACCGATCGTCGTCGCCGTTGCCGGTCAGCTCGGGGCAGTCCTCCCGGCGAGAGGACAGCAGATCGCCCACCTCCGCCGCCACCGTTGCCGTTGCAGCCAGCAAGTCCAGCCGCGGAGCTTTGGAGTCCCGCGACCGTGAGCTCTCATCCGCCTCCCACGGCCTCGGCCTCGTGTCACCCATCACGCCGGCCTGGAAGGAAACAAGGGATCACAAGTAAGAAGGGAGTCGCATGAACGATGGATTCCATTATTAAACCCGAAACCACAAAGCAAGCCAGCAGGAACCCTACGGATCGGCTATGATCAAGACGGCGCCGCGGATTCAAGCACCAAAACCATGGGGAGCGGGCCGGGGCAGGAAGAAGAACCAAGATCGCAGCGGTTCTGGCGAGTGGCGACGATCAAGGAGCCTGCGGGCTAGCCGGCTAGGGATTGGACCGAAAGGCGGAGAAGAAAAAGAAAACCCCATGTGAAAAACACGAGATCAACAAGCGTTCGAGGAAGAAAAGGAAACGGGAGAAGAAGAAAAGGAAACCGAGAAGGCGGCGAGAATGCTGGTGTCGGGATCCAGGGGCCGCGGCGACGCCGGGAGGGGGTTTTGGAAAGGGTTTTCGTGCTGGTGTGGTTGCTACTGGAAATTTGCGACTGGGCTGATACTGGGCCTTGTATAGGCCCATTTGGTCGAACGAGAACCTACAACAGCCCAATCCTTCCGACCGGCCCCGGCTGCTGTGGCTGTGCAAATGAGATGAGAACCTCCAAGTCCCATCCCTCAACTGTCTCTAACTCTGATCAGTGACCGTAATGGAGGCTACTGTACTCTGTGCTGCCAGTGTGCAGAGTGCAGACTGCAGTGACATGAACAGTGCCATGGACACTCCAACTCGACTATTACAAATTCTATGATCTGATCTGAAGCTACCATCTTTGTTTGGAAATAAATGCTGTGTTCATTCCATCAGGCAATCATAATTTTCCAACAGGGGCCACAGGGCAGCGTTCCCTGGCCCCCGTCTGAAGAACGTGCATGCAAAGCAGGCAGCAAACGTCTGTCTCTCAGAGTGTACCAATGTCTCCAGACTTTTGCTTTTGATAATACTAGCATATGTCAGGCATAAGCTATTGTGGATTACTCCCAGACAATGAGAAATCGCATGTAGGGCATATTCCAATTTAGGAGGATCACCTCCAGCATGAAGCTCCGATAATCAGACATTAATGCTGATACCAAGACAAAAAAAATCAAGGGGAGGATAGAACAAACTATGTGTTGTTTTCGATTTCAGGGAAAGCTCAAAACATCAAGAGGAATATGGCCTATATCTCCACAAGGCAATGTAAACCATTATCATGTAACAACAGCATCCAACAAAACCTTTACAAAGCCCGTATCACCGGTTTACCAATCTCACCACTATTCTATTCACAGTTTCATCCTAAAAGGCAAAGCAATGGAATGACCAGATCAGCTGAGTGAGAAGATCAGAAAGAAAGAAAAAAAACTCCGATTTGGTACAAAGTTACAGTAAGTTTGAAGCCCAGCGAAAAAATGAGCTTGGTCAAGAGCCTGTTTTACTATGAACACTGACTGACTGGATCCTTGCGGTCCAGAGAAGGTTTGCTTATCTCACTCATCTGCTTGTTCTATTACTGCATTCTTTAGTTCGACGTCTTATGCCAGAAATGTCTTGGTCTTCCATCCTCTCACAGAAAAGAATATAGGCCTCACAGTTGAGAACTTGTTCAAGAGTGACTTGTCTGATCCAACGGTCGTCTGCACGAAACCATGAGGAAGAACAGCTGCTACCCTCTTGCTGATTTCCAAGCCTTCTTGCTCTAACGTACGCAATGTAGTGTGAGTCCTTCGCCTTCAAGGATCCCTTGCCAATGTGCTCTACAACACCAGCTAGACGATAGAGGGTGCTACCTTTGTCGACAGAGCTGAATATTGGAGAAAACAAAACAGAATTAGGCCAAATGTATGGTTATAAATTAATGCAATCTTTTACAAATAATGCCATGCCTTTCTTGGTCATGTATCCACATAATTGAACATTATCAACAAGAACCCTCTATCAGATAAACACCCATGATCCCTTCTCAAGTGATCAATCATCTAACAACGAAGATTTCAATAAATAAAGGCTCTAGAATTATTAAGAAGGCCATACACATTTACCTTTATTTTTTTTAAAAAAACAATTATATTTGAAATACCAATACCAGAAGTCAGAACTGTAGCTAACATACAACTTTGAAACAAAGAAAAAGGTATTTAAAATGCACCTAAATGCAAATAGATACTGAGCTCTTTACAGTGAAGTAAGCAATACAGCCAGTGAATTGGGTTTGTAGCAGACGATCTGTGTGTTCCATTCTATTCAAATGTGATCAGTTCTGTCGCAAACAAACTCAATTACAACTGATTCACTAAAGCATTTTCCAACCAAAGACAAGATTATTTGATGTAGATTGAACATGGCTCTGATCAATATCAGACTGTAAAAAAGAACTACAAAGATCCACAGCTCCTGTGTGTATCCTCAGGAAAAAGGACTGTAGAAAATAGGCTTAATTCAGTTGCTTCCCAGGACTGGAATCACAACTAATTTAAAAACCTAGTTGGATTATTTGCGTTGGCGTCTCATTTACATTCTCTCAAATGAAAAATAATACAGATTTTGTAAATTTCTAGAGCTGCACAGGCTCCAACAAGTACACCTTTTTAGACATGTTAATGTTATTATTGATGGCATTTGTATAATTCTTTCACATAATTCCAACTTCCAAATAGTATGTCCTGGGACTGGGAGTACCATATGACCCAGTGTCCCATTCCCATCGTTTATGAAAGGGCGATGCATTTTGAATCTGACAAGACGCCAGTAACTTTCATATGCACTGTCATTTTATGGTGTTTTTCCCCTTCTCAAACCTTTCTTTACTGCTGCAGTTTTTTTTTCTACATATAAAACTTGTCCCTTTTGTCTCCATGCTCAGATGACAAGATATTCATTTTACTATTATCATGTTACAGTTTTTTAGTGAATATAATAAATTATTTGAAAGATTTTACCTTCTTTTACTCACCCATTATGCAGTGCTAAATACACATGTTTCCAAGGGAAGTAAACAATTGGTTTGGCTGTTCATAATTTCTTTAATCTGAATCAGGTTAATCTGCAGAGATAAATATAAGTAGAATCGTCCTAATTACCTCTATGCAAATGAAGGAAATTATCCAAATTTCCAGGAAATTAACATACTCCATTTCTATATGGCATTAATTTTCACACACTATAATCGCATACTTATTTCAAAACTGTACTAGTTGATTTGGAAAAAGAAAAGTCTAACGAGTATATGGCTGCAAAAGCCCCCATGACCACAAATGAGAACACTGAAGTACGGGTAAAAAAAATCATTCACCAACAATGCCATGTGTTCTTAAGTCTTTATTTAGAGAAGATCGTGTATCGTTAAAGCTAGTAGGAATGAACTAAACAAAAAAGCTTACGCAATTAGAAACTTGTTAGAAGTTAGAACTGCACAGATGTATAAGGTATTACTGTGAGGAACTATCAGTACCTGGGGTCCATGAATCGCTTTACATCAAGGTATTCCATAAATCTCACATGGCCACTTATTTTGATCCCATCAGTTCCCTTAAGGTGAGAAGTTCTATTAAGGTGAAGAGCTAATACAGGTGGAAGCGTGGTAAAACGATAAATCTTAACAGTATCTCCAACATCATCTTCATTGCCGCTTCCCACTATCTGCTCGCCATTTTTACTTTGACTGGCACTTGGCTCCTCATGATCCTTGGCACAATTAGGACAGCGCCATTTTACCTGACCTTCAGAAAACAGCAATAAGAAGTCTTCAATCGATATTGAATCTTCTGTCAGTGAATCAACAGACTTGCCCTCCTGAATCTGCAAAGGACTCTGTACAACATCCTTGCTTTGACTGATACATTGCGCTTGAGTAGAATCTGCAGAACCAAGCATATATAATATTTAATTTTATCTGCAGCATCGACATCATGCAACCAGCAACTGGCATCCTCTACATATTTTTAGATCTTTATCCTCCAAATTCGAAGTAGCTTTCTTTTCAAGAATCCACGCACATGATTAAGTGGAGCAACAATTTTATGCGACGACAAGGACTCAACGTCTCAAGCTATTTATTCCAGTGGCAGTTTTATCTACTACACTACAAACAACATTGCCGTGTTAGCACTTCTGAAAGATCCTGCTCACTTTTGTATACACATCCCAAAGGTTTTCCTGAAATTTTTCTTCTGTCCATGTGTGCAAAGGGCCCTCAAACAATTTTCTCCTCTTAGCAAGTGTAGGATACATATTCCAAAAAATGAAACGTTTTTCTTATGTTGAGCAAGATGACCCAATAAGAATTCCAGTTTCAGAGTGTTCCGTAGTTCCAGCATTTTCAATCCACAAATGTGGAATGACCTAGGACTCTAGAGTACCTCCGACATCTGCAGTCAAGGCATTTTAATAAGTGCAGGAGCAATCATAAACTCACCAACTTCCAAAGGTTTATGTGTTTCCTCCACAGTCACCTCTGAACCAATAGCACGAGAATAACCACTTTCAGAAACTGTTTGCATCTTTTCCAAGTTTCTCTGCACATCTGCTGGAAATAATTGAACAGCAATCTCCCTCTTTCGAGATCTGGGACTCTCGCTTGTTTGTGGTGATGCAGCACTTTTGGTTGGATGCCACTTTGATGGGAAATGCATTGTCAGGTCCCAGAAAAAATTGGATGTCGGAGACGAATGACCACATTTTTTGCAGGATAGTGTCTGAAGCATCTTAAACCTAAAAATGAAATCAATCACTGTAGGGGCATCACTTTGCCTGTTATCAATCTCCTCACCTTCATTCCAAATATTGCGCAAGGCCACAAGAAATTCGTGGCTGTCTTCCATAGTCCCAATTCTGAATCGCGGCGCACTGTGCCTGTGTACACATTTCGAAACTTCCTTTGGGTTCAGCACGTCTCCTGCAGCATTTGCCTCCAGAAAAAGCTTCTTCAGTACCTTGGCAAGGGGACTTTTTGGACGATCCAATGCTAACATCCTTTCTCGCAGCTTACCAAGCACAAATAGGCACTGCAATACTGCACTCATGTAGCATGTGTTTCCGAGATTTGGTATCCCTCTGATAGCATAGCCTTGCGCATTAGATGATCTGGGCTCATAGCTAGGCCATTTGTCTGAAAGATCCACACCAAACCCAGATGGATGGCTTTCTGCCTGAACTTTGCCCGTCATTTCCACCTTCTTTGGATTGACCTCCACCTCAGTTTGACCTAAGAATGCAGATCATCCAAGAAAGCCAAATAAGTAGGGGATTTCTTGTGGGGGTGGGGGTAATAACCAAGAAGACGAAACATTGAAAACTTCAGCAAGTATTAACATTCTAGAACCACTACCAAGAACAGTGCAGACCAGTGATTGGGCCAAGGAAAATCAGGGGCAAACAACCGTAGAAGGAAAAAAAACAGAAAACATGAAACCCTGGCGCGAAATCAAGAACGGCGCCAGGGATTCAAGAAGCAAAGCCATGGGACCACAAAGAGCAATGTCGGGGAAAAGCTTACCAACAGATGGCGTGGGAGCCAGTAACTTTCGACTGACAATAGAGCGGATCACTTGAACACCAACCTCGTTGTCACCTTCCCCAAATTTGACCGGCATTGGCACCTCAGCGTTACACTTGAAGCAGTATCCTCTTTCTGGATCACAGTACAGAACAGCAAACCAGTGCTTCTCCTTCAGGGCGTGTGCTCGAGAGTGCCCAAACGGGTAAGCAATTGACCCAACCCCGCAGCAGAGATGGTCATAGCATGTCACGCAGATCAAGAGATCTCTCTTCGCGGGCCTGGTTTTGACGATCCCATTCTTGTCTTCGTCCCGACAACCACAGCAAGTCCATGCGTCCTTGGAATCGAGCGATTCAACCAATTCCTCGATAGCACTGTAAGCGATGACGTGATTGCACTTGCACCGCTTCTCATCGCTGGCCCGCCCCGCCACTTCCACGATCAGCTCCGACGACTCAGGAACCGTAGGCAGAGGCAGAGCCGCCGCGGGCCATTTGCCCTGCCGCCGCGGAAATTTATTCCGCGGGCTTCGAGATCTCTTCGGCGGGCTTCCCTCCGCCTCACCCTTCGGCGGCGCCTCCCCCGTCGGGTTCGGCTCCGACGCCCCAGGACCCGTAGCCAGAGCCGCGTCGCCCAGACGCGGAGCTTTCTTCCGCGGGCTCTCCTCCGCCTCCTCCCCCTTTGGCGGAGTCTTCCCCGTCGGGCTCGATGCCGACGCCACAGGAACCGTAGCCAGAGCCGCGTCGCCCAGCCGCGCAGCTTTCTTCCGCGGGCTCTCCTCCGCCTCCTCCCTCTTCGGCGGCGTCTTCCCCGTCGGGCTCGGTGCCGACGCCGTAATCAGAGCCGGGTCGTCCACCCGCGGAGCTTTCTTCCGGGGGCTTCCATCCGCCTCCTTCTCCTTCGAGGGCGTCTTCCCCATTGCGCTTGCCTGGAACACACAAGAGCCACAACAAATTAGAGTCGCGTGAATCCATTAAACCCCAAACCACCCAGCAATCGAGAAAACCTGCAGATGACCCGAGAATCGAAAGCCAAATTGAGTAGCGGGCAAATACGAGAATCGAGAAGACGACGGGAAATCGAGCACTTCGTTAAGGATCAATAACCGCTACCCAGAACCGTACGGGCCAGGGATAAACCAGCCAAGCATTAGAGCGAACGGGCGGAGAACCAGAGAAGAAGAATTCGAACCAGAACAACCGAAGCCGCATTCGTTCGTTGTGGCGAGGATCAAGAACCAACGGGCCATAGAATCGAACCGAGAGATTTCAGAGGCGGGGAAACAGAGGGGGGATACGATGAAATCGATCGAGAAGACTCGCGAAACGGAAACCATTCTGGCGGGGGATCAACAACGGCGACCGCGGATTCGGGGATCCGAACCAGCAAAACACCAATCGACCGAGCGACCAACAACATAACCGGAGAAGGAAGGAAGGAAGGCCGTGGGGGGAAGCTTACCGGAAGACGACGGTAACGGGGCTCGGGGTCGAACGGCCTTGCGGGCTGCGGCGAGGCCGAGAGGGAGAGGGAGAGGGAGAGGGAGACGGGGGTTTGGAGAGGGAGGGCGGCAAAGGAGCAAATGATTTCGCGCTGGTTTGGTTTCGCTGCGGCGGTGGTGGGGGTTTTGTGGGGAGAGACGGTGGGCCGCGGACTTGGGCGCGTTGGTTGAGAAGGCCGTGGGCCGTGCGCACGAGGCGGGGGATGGACCCGTGCAGCTGTGGCTTTGCCGAGATGGGCCGATCCGCGATTGTATCAGACGACCTACACAAATACACGGAATATTCATGTTGGAAATTAGGTAGAGATAACCCATACACATGTTGATGCCATGATTCTGTGACAAATATTGGGAGTGTTTCCGGGAGAGAGATGGATGGTAGCTTGTATCCATATAGTATAAATAAAGGACATTTTTTAATTTTGTGCAAAAAAAACAATGGGTCGCAAATTTGCCATCTTGAGGCTATCTCCAACAATGAGTACCCAAAAGCGAGACTCATTCCACGGTATAGGTCACGCACAGTAAAAGACATCCCCCACCCAAGTCTTGCATCTCCAACAGCAGACGCAAAAAGGAGGTGTGGTGCCATGGAGGACGGGCACGACGGAGCCGAACTCGAGGACGCCGCCCTTGCACGGGAGGAAGACGATGGTGCGGATGCCATCTCCGGCCGCCTCGCGAGCGCCACCTCCTCCCCCGCGACCCTCTCCTCTTCCCCGTGCAGCGACCCTCCTCTCCTCACAGCTTCCCGCCTCCTCCCTCAGCGACCCTCTCCTCTTCCCAGCCAAGGCCAGAGGGGAGCTGCCCGGCTCCCCGTCATGCAGCTTCTCCGCCTCCCAAGCGGGCTCAGCCCCAGCTCCGCCTCCGCCCCGTGGCTGGGAGAGAGAGCGAGAGAGAGGCAGCGCCCGGCAGCTTATGTCACAGCGTGGAGGACGACGCAACTTTGCGTCTCCTCTCTCCTCGAACGCAAATTGCGTCTTGCGTATTGGTCATCGGTTGGAGGCCGATTCCGGTACCCAAAACACCGTCTGGGACACAAATATGCGTTTGGGGCGCGGTGTTGGAGACAGTCTGAGGAAGTCATGGGCGGCTCCCTCCCATCCTACAATGAGTAGTAGTAGAATTAACTTGAGAAAGTGTTGAGAAACAAACAAAACATCCTCGATAACTCAAATTGCCGTCCCTGGAGACGTCCAAATAGGTTCATATGTAAGACATGTGCATGCCTATATATTCTTGAGAAATAAAGTTGGAGAATTATAGAGGAATTTTAAATTTGGAGCTCTACCAAATAAGCCCTGATAATCATCACATGTGAGGGTTTAGAGCCAGCACAGATAAGATGTTGTGCAACAATGCTCTCCCATCCTCCAATGGGCATTAGAACTCTTTTTTTTTGTGAATGGGTATTAGAATTCTTATTGGCATGTCAAATATTTGTTTTCACAATAGTCCAAGTGCTAGCTAACAAGGTGATGAGATACGAACAAGAAACATCGTCTGAACAACCTCAAACTAGTATCGCCGAACCACGTCAGAATCGGTTTCATGTGAAATGCATGCGCATGCCTATATATAAAAAGGCTATTCTCTTCCTGTGGCCGCGCGAGGACAACATCGTCGACCCCCCTACCTTCTTCCCATCCGGCTCCCTCCATCATTCCTTGGATTGGAGCCTTGTCATTTCTATCTATGCAAAGGCAGCTTACAAATTTCGCCATCTTGAAAAAAGGTGTCATTGAAGGACGAGCAAACTAACACGGCCATTGCATTTCCAATCAATTGATATCTTATTTCGGATATGTGTGCTTCTTTGTCTAGATTCGTGTGGGGAATTGGGTCGTTTCATGTGAAATTCCTGCAAAATTCGGACCAGACCGTCCTTTAAAGGTAATAAGCATCACATTATTTCTGGTTTCCCATGCTCTTGGATCCACACGTGCAATTTTATTTATAGCCCATCATCCTTTTTTTGTTTCCAATGAATAGGATGTTTGGTTTGAGAAATTAGTTAGTTGATTGTCCTTTCAGTCCTCACTTTTTTTTTGTTTGGTTTGTAAAATGAAATTGGGTTGATTATCATCTCGTCATTCTTTACAAGCTAACAATTGGTACGGGTATTAGAAATGGAATGATTCCTCAAACCAGACTCCTCGTTCTATGGTAAATTTGTTAATTCGTAACTATTTCGTACATCCATGGGGATTCAAATGTGCATATCCAAACCGTCTTTGTGATGAACACATATGCCCTAAACATATCCCACTCTTCTAAATATAAGCAGCTATCGCAAATGATGCGTATATATCTGTTCGTTTCTACAATTCTACACAGGGCAATTCTATAATTGACGCAGATCGAGGTTAGAGGTGACGAGGAGAGGAAGCTAGAGCAGGAAGAGCCAGCCAGACAAAGCAAACAATGGAGGAGAAGAAGGACCTGCTTCGGAAGCTGACGATCGTCTCGATCCCGTTCGTGTTCGTGGCGATACCGTTGGTGGTGATCATCGTGGGCATGCTGTCCCCGCACGCGGCGGAGCCCCGGAATGGGTCGTCGCCGGCGCCGCCGGGGCAGAACCACTCGGTGTCGATGCCGAGCACGATGACGGGGGGGTGTGTTGGCCAGCGGCCAGATGATCCTGAGCTGCCGCGCCGCCTTCTCCGGCAACTGGGAGTACTTCCACTACTTCATCCTGGACCCGTACAAGCCGCAGCGGGCCTTCTTCCAGCCGCAGGCCGACCCCTACGTGCTCTTCTGCAAGTGGGGCTACATGGGTAACTTCCTCCAGGACGTCGTCGTCTTCAACAGCTCCGCCGCCTGGGCGCCGCACTGCCGCGTCGACAACGGCGGCTGCCGCTACCTCTTCCAGGACGGCCACATGTTCCTCGTCACCGGCAAGCACGGCGGCGACAGCGAGGCCCACAGGGTGAAAGTGGTGGAGGAGACGACTGAAGAACAGGCGCCTGCACCTGGTCCGGGTCTTGGTCTTGGTCCTGGTCCGAGTCAGGGTCCGGCTCCGGCACCAGCTCCGGCACTAGCTCCGGCTCCGTCTCCGGACGCCCATTCGCAGGGGCGGGAGAAGACGCTGATCGGGGACGTCCTGCTCAGGGAGTGCAAGCACGTGCTCGGCTTGTTCCCCACCATGTGCCGGAAAAAGCCGCACAACCACCAGTACGTCGGAAAGATCATCGGCCGGTGGCGGTGGTGGTTCAACTACTAGATATCTAGCTGGCAGATCGCCATCGTCGGCGGCGACGACGGCGCGTGCGTGGTGTAGGACTGAACCCTTCCGTTGGCGATGGTGCATGCGCACGCAGGAAAGGAAATGATATAAACACGATGTGTATACACAGGTTACGATTTGAATTCCTGACAAATTAAAGGCAATCAGGAATTCAGGACACCTCTTCCGTTTGTTTTTTGAATTCATGACTTGTATAATATAGTATACATTGGCACTGATCGTATCGTATCCCTACTACACATATCCATGTATGCTTTACTAGTACAAAAAAAAATCCCATGCCGCAGGACAAGGGTCACTGGATCAGATGAGGATGCTGGCCAAGGTTGGTTGACAAGGGCCAGTGAGATTGGGGACTGGCTGAACCTGAACAAGAAACAAATAGAGAGCTCGCAGGAGGGATTACACCTACAAGGATGAGAGGCAGGGCAGGGTGTACTACAATGCATGGCTGTTAGAAATATGACGAAAGAGAGAACCCAAGGAAGAGGAGGCCTCCGATGGTGGCGACCGTGCCCTGAGATATCTTGGAGGCCAGCATGCTGCCGCCCACCACCGCGATCGACGTGCAGATGGTGTGCCCAAAGGTCGCTCCTGTAGCAACTCCGACCGCATTTTTGTGGGTCGCCAGCTGCATTGACGACTGTTCTTCAAGTTCAGTTACGAAGTTGGATGAAGAGACAGCTGGAAACTTCAATTTGAAGAGAGGGAAATCGAGCCGTACCGCTATATTGTCGTAGCTATCTGACTTCGGTCACCCCACTCCGCCAAGAAGGTCAACACAAATGACTGAAATCAATAGGCAATACTTCATACAGAAACCGAGCAATACACTTGCACTGCTGCAGCATCAGTACCAATATGTTTGGTTACATTATCTAGTGTTAACAGAAACATGCAAGGTCAGAAAGGATTCTACATCCTCTGAAAGGGGAAGGATCACACAAGGTTTGACCATCCACCACAAAAGCAGAAGCCAGTAAATCCAAGTTTCAGAGAAATGAAAGTGTAAAATGAGGAGAAAGGCAAAGGGAAACCTACCTCCAGGAAAATAGGAGTGCAGAATCTTGAGAAAACACGTCTAAATGTTGACTTCCCTTGGCCTGCTTCCAGCTTTTCCTCTACCTGTATATGTCAAGGAACAAAAGATATATATTAATTATATATAGTCTGGAAAAAGAGTGTTACAACAGTCACTGACAACCAATTAGCAGTCTGAACAATGAGTTGCTGTATTAACTCTTGACACCAGCAGCTAACTATCATATTTCAAGCATAAGTATATCCTACTGATGTTGTAACAGGTCTAATAGAGAGTAGTCCATGGTCAGAAAGGTCCAATCAGTTTTTTTTCCGAACCGGAGAGGATCCCCCATTTCCATTAAAAGCATTAACGGAAATACATGGTATTCCAGAGTTTTCAGAATGAGAAAAAGATAAACGCAGAAGCTAAGAAAGACTACTACCTTACGACCATTACATCCAACTTGAACAGTTATGAACTCAAAATGTGTTTATGCTATATCTAGCAAACATGGATGATGCTTAGCATGGAAATGAAAAGAAAGTAACAATTTCATGTAAGAAAATCCACATATATACTTCTTCTATTTCCTTCTTCTGTGATGCCTTGGAATCTGACCTCCAAGCAATGTACAGGAGCCGTAGCCCAAAAAATGCGTAGAGGACTGAAGCACAAAACAACAAAAGAGGAGATATCAGAATGCACTGCTACATGCTACAGAACTGATATGACATCAAGATTGCTACAATATCTTAAGAATCATAAGACTAAGAATATTCATGTTCAAATGGTATTATGTTTATTGGAAGGGAAGAAGCTAGGGCCGGCCAACCGGCTCCGGCGCGAGGTGCTGGTGCCGCTGCGGCAAGGCCTGAAGGCACTCAAGCTCCCGGCGGACGTGTGTACATGTGCGCTTGCAATTTTGAGGAGCCGCTGACGTACGCGTCGTCGAGCCCGCCCACGCCACTGCAGTTGACCATTTGCGCCGCCTCGCCGCCCATGCCGGCGAGCCACCTCGTCACCGGCCGCGGCCCCAACACCGACGGGCTCGGTCGCTGTCCCATGGCCCCGCGACCGTCCGTGCACGCAGTACGTGGCAACAATGGTGGCTCAAACAAAATGGCCACCACGCTAGTGTGCTGCACGGGACTCATCTACATCACGCGTCGAGTGCATACATTTTTTTCCCCTGGGCTGGGCACATGCATCCAGTGGGACCAGTGTGATCCCGTGCAGGATAATCAAAACACGTTGGACTTAGCAGCCACGTGACGTGAGCGTGACGTCCGCCATCGAGCGCCTCCTCGACCAGATGGCCGCCCATATCGAGGACAGTGGCATCGCACGCGCCCGCGACGTCGTCCCGCCATCCATCCAAGAACGCCGTCGAATCCATGTCCATCCTCACCGTCGGTGCCGCCCACCTCGCCACGGATGTGTACTGTAGCTGCCTGCACGCGCCTTCACCGCATCTCACGCGCACCGCCGAGCCCGCCCACAGTCGCTGCCGCCGTCGCGCCTGCCCCTGCGTTCGCCTCGCCGCCGCGGCCCACACTGCTGCCCGCACGCGCCGACGAGCCTGCCCACGCCGCTGCGCCTCGCTGCCACGGCTGCCATGCAGTCGAGCCACCCCGTGACGGACGCCGACGAGCTCCGAAGACGGAAGCACGGGGTTATCCGGCTGCAGCGGCGGCGCCTGGATCGAGAATGATTGAACGAAGGCGTGAAGGGCGTCGACTTGGATGGAGGCGTTGCCCTGCGACATTGCGTGGTCCTGCGACGTGCGCACCGCCCTGGCTCGTCTACCACCTCCACGGCATGCGCGCGCGGCCTGTGCACCGACACGGAAGGCTTCTACGCCGAGTCGCCGACACGCTCTGGATGCGCGCGCGCCACCCGAAGACGCTCGCCGGAAACTTCACCACCTTCGCCAGCAGGTTTGGCTGCCTCAAGGACCTCCCGAGATCCTCTACCGCGTCGTCCGCGAGGCCGAAGACGGCGACCGTCGCAAGCAGCAGAACGTACACGGTACACTGCCACGGCATGAAGCGCCGCCGTGGCCCGCAGCGAACGTGAGTTCGAGGCTGCCAAGCTCGCGCTACCTCTAGGATCGCGTTGCCGAGATGCCCAAGTCCGACGTCGAACACCTGCGCGTGGGCGACACCGTGCGCCGAGATCGGGCTCCCGGCCACGCGTGTACATGTGCGCGTGCAGGTTTGAAGTTTATTTGAAGAGCCGCTGCCGTACGCGCGCGTGGCTTCCATGGCGATGAACAAGTACAAGGAGTGGGAGGTGTCCCAGAAGCACGGCAAAGCACCGCGTGGCCGACTTCTTCGACGAGGTCGAGGTGTGCGCACCGGCCGCGCCAGGATGCCCGCGGCCGGACGACGCGGTGCTGCGGCTGCAGCCCCACGAGTTGATCGCCGCAGCGCTAGCTCAAGGGGGAGCACGACGAGTCGGCCGAGCTCCTGCTGTGGCGTGGCGCTGGCCGCTGAGGGCGGCCTCGACCGCCGTGTGAGGGCTCTCCGGCGCCACCTCGACCGCGCGCTGTGGACACACACACAGCGACCTCGGCAGCCATCACACTGGGGCTTCTCGTCTCTGCGCTGAGCCAGGAGCCGTGGAAGGGGCGCTCGATCACCTTCAACGAGACGCACCAGCTGCACAAGGCGCTCGGCACGAGCCTCAAGCTCAAGGAGAAGCTGCGGCCGCTGGTGGAATCCATGGCGCAGCGGCAGCATATGAAGGGCGCGAACCTGCAGGTGCGTGTGCAGCAAGATCCTGCAGCTGGTGGTGGCCGGCGGGCTGCGCACGGGCATGATGGTGAAGAGCCGAATAGGGTGTTTGTGCAGTTGTGCTGAGTGCCTGACCGACATGACTTTGACGTGTGGACCGGCGCGGTGTCCCTCTTTTCCCGTAGCGGAGGACGGGTTCACGGTTCCCCCAGGACCCAGATAGGCCCAGATCCGCGCGACGCCGCAAGCTTTTCGCGGCTTACTGGGTTAGAGCGGGAACCCGCATGCTGCCGCCCGCTTGTGTCTGGTTGCCGCGAACCCGCAAGCACAAACGTGCGAATAGGCACCGTCGATTCCCTGGTGCGGTGGGCTGCATGCTACTAGTTCTGAGCTGGTCAGTTGGGCCTGGGTGCGTGACTTTGGACCTGGGGTGCAAAAGAAAAGGTCCTATTTAGCTCCCTCAATCGTTTGATTTTTCCCTACCTCTTAACTTTTAATACCGTTTGTTTTGACATCTTGGATGATTTTAATAGTGGTTTTGCTGATGTGGCATCATGTTAGAGAGGGTAAATCGGACTAAGTAGAAGTTCAGTGAGATAAATTGGACTAGGGATATTTTTTTAAAAAAATATATAAAAGAAGTCATAAAAATAAAATTTTAAATATTTATACAAAAAAATTTACACAAAAAATTAATGCAATTAAAAATCCTAAATAAAAATTAATCTTAGAAAAATGGTTTTACCTTGGAAAATTATGAAAGTAGTTTTAGATTTTGTATGGAATCATGCTCTATCTTATGGTGCCTAGCTTGAAATTGTTTGAATTTATATGGACTCATTTAAATGCTTATTTGTTAGTAGAAGCTCTCGTTATCTATTATAATTACTCAATGTTGACCATCCGAACTACGTAGAAGCACCAGCGGAGTCTCATCAGGACTGTATATGCGGCAGGGTGTATATAGTCATGTAGGCGGACACAACTAGGAAATTTTATCCAGGGTAGGGGATCAACTTTAACACCTCGGTGCTAAGCTACAGTTAATCAACTTTTACGGCACGTAAATTGGTTACTCGTGGAATTTTCATCCCCAAATTTTTAAAGTGTTGTTTTTGGAAAGTGAAATTGTGAAAAGTTGTTTATTTAAAAAAATACAAGAGATGGGGGTGCGGTTTTACATAAGTAAAATAAAATTGTAAAAAAGGAAGAAATAA